TGAGTTCAATGGGGGTGAGAAACAATTTCTAGCCAACTAGCTATGCAGTTAATCTTCCATTTAGTTCTTAATAAAACTATATTACCAACTTGATTTCCTTCATCACCAGCTATTAGACTCTCCAACTCATGCACTCTCTTGATTAAGCTCCAACGACGTGTTTACTTATCTAGAATGAATGCAAAGAGATTGGTATCTTCTCATTCCTGGTACATCTAACGCATAAGGAATGAAAGAGTGAGTTCACTGTTGAAATTAGCTACGTCCACCCAATTTCAATCACATGTCATTATCAGGGGGGACTCGTACCATACTTGAACAACTTGGTATCATACTCATGCCCAAGTTAGTACGAGCCACTTCAACTTCACCAAAATTTCTCAAATTCAACCATTCTTATATCTATATGTATAAAGAGAGAAGGGAAAAAAGTGAAGCTTTTATAACACCTAAATTACCTTCTCCCGTTAGCAATTTAAATAAATAAATAAAGATCCACAAAAAACCCAAGTTAATGAGACTTTGGGTGATTAGTAAATTCATTACTTTTCAAAATAAGTAAGCGAAAAAAACACATCAAATCTAAAGCAAAAAGCTAGTATTTAATAATATTTGATAATATTTGCATATAAAGAACCAAAAACTTCAAATCTAAAGTAAAAATATTTTTCTTACCATTATTTGTATCATCTCTTATAGAAATGAGACTCATGTGCATTGGCGGGCCCAATATCTATTAGTGAGATAATACAAGTGATGGCAGAAGATAGTAAAGATAGCACTACTTAAAAAAAAAAAGTAAACCCGTCATTTTGTACCTGAAAAAGAAACCCAAAACATTTGTGTAGAGAGAGAGAGAGAGAGAGAGAGAGAGAGAGAGAGAGAGAGGGAGAGAGAATTGCTCTTCACTGTAAGAATAATAATACAAGTTACATATGAGTTAAATTGACATAACTCAATCTCACATTCCTTGTACATCCACTCACATAATTTTTCCAAGAGCCTCACTCTACCCCAAAAGTTCCTTCACCAGTGACTTTTCACTCTAGCTCTCTTGTTTTTCTCTCAACCCCTGTTCAACCCTTCCCATGAGAGAGCCGAATGCTCTCCCCCTTGGATGCTTATGTGGTGCTTGCACACTCAAGAATTGAGAAATGCGGACTGTTTAGTTTAAAATTCGCAATTCCCATTAGCCAATTCTACTCACCCACTACGCATACAATCTCTATTTTTCAACGCCCAGATCTCTTTCTTGAACAATCCAAATTCTCAATATGTGGGATCCGAAGTGTGAGAACAGAAGAGGAACTCAATCCCTAACTGGAATGTCCTGGAAATCAATCACTATGAACAAAAGAAGTAATTGACAATAAAAAAAAGTAAGCACGTGGATTTTTAGCAATAAAGAAAGTCTACTTTGCCAAAGGCTTATCCAATTAATGGTTTAATGATTTCCCTAATAGTATAAATTATTCCTGATGCGAATCCCCAAACCAATAGCAATCCAGATTCTGATACGCCCGATACCAAATTAAAATTCATTACTGCTGCATAAGAACAAAGTTGTACAAGATCGACGGCCAATATTTACACAAAAAAGCGAAATTACAAAGCTTGATTACCGGTTAATTACATCATTAACCTAAAACGACGGAACGATGCCGTAGCGGCACGTCCGCTCCGCTTCGATCTCCACCTCCGTGCGCTTCGCGAACCTGCCTTTGATTCGCGGGCGGGTCTCCGCGTACGCTTTTCTCGAAGCGTACCGTATCGTCTTCTCGAACTTTCGGTTCTTCCGCTTCTCTCTGTACCTTAGCACCCTCGCCTCGCGATCTGCGGACGAGAGCTGGACCGCCGGATGTGATGACTCCACGGCGGAGGTCATTGACTTATTGTAAGGATTTGAAACGTCTGTCATCGCGTTGGCATCTGGCACGATGCTGACGTCCATCGAGGACGATGATACCTGTGGTTCAAAGCAGGGGATCAGAGACTGAATGAATGCAAAATTTTCTTCGGATCTGTCTGGTTACTGAGAAAATTGAGGAGACTTACACTCTGTCCCAGACACTGAGCGTGGTGATAGCCGTAGACGAAGGGCTTGGAGGCGGCGGAGAAGTCGATTTCGAAGCTGTGGTCGTTGACGAGCTGAGGCTGCATGTTCTTGCTTTGCTCCGGAACGACGCCGTCCGTGACGCAGCTGTTCTGCTCCTGAGCATCTTCAAGCTTCGGATCCACATGCCCGTAGTCCAGATCCAGATACGGATCCATTTCCGGGAACAAGTACTGCCCCGAGTTCAGATCCGGATTCTCCATCGCTTGGGATTCGGGAGCAGCCACGAGGCGGCCTCGGCCTCCTCCCTCCTCGCCTCGATCTCTCCGTCAACGTCGGAGAAGTAACGGTCGTCGAGGAAGTTGACAGCGGATTTGACAGCGGGGACTGAATCAGTGGCCGAGTTCACCGAGTCGTAGAAGGGCGTGACCGGGACTCGCTCGTGGCGTCGGCTAAGAGGGTTGGCGGAGTGGATGTCGCGGTCGCAGGTGACGCAGAGGGCGGCGTCGTCGGCCTTGCATGTGACGTGAGCTGGAGCTTGCTCACACACCTCGCAGAGCCAGACGCGGGCGTGGCGGGAGGCGAGCTTGTTGGCCGCATGGATCTTGGAGTCGCAATTGACGCAGAGGAAGGCGGAGTCAGCGCGGCAGAACAGAGTCCCTGTCGCCGATTTGCACGAGTCGCAGAGTTTCAACGCCATAACCGAAATCTGCTGCAGTGTAATAATTTTCGTAAATATTGAAAACCTCTCGCTCGCTCACTCACGAATACTCTCTCTCTCTCTCTCTCTTCGCTTTTCTCTCTCTCCCCTTTTGCGTTTTGATCCAGCGTGTGGTGTCTATCCGGTGGGCCAGGGATATCTAGGCAAAGACCAATGAGGATGCGATACGTTGACAAACCTTAGCCAAAAGGTCGGGCTGTCAAGTATCAATGTTAGGTAGGGCCCATGGGAGATGGTCCTCGTTTGCTTATGAAATTTCATTTGTTTCAGCTATTTCCGCAGTGGCGTGATCAGAATGAGAATGGGTAGGCGGGGGCCCACAATTATTGGGGGTGGGGGTTGGGTGGGGGAAATTTTTTAATTTAATCGTCACAAGAGATAGTACATCACGTGTCACTATATAAACAGTGGGATATGTGTATTAAAAAGTTAATAACTTAAAAAATAAAATTTCTCACCACTTACATAAAAACATGTGGTGTACCACTCGTATTCCTGTCATAACTAAAAATTTATCGTTGGGTGGGGGTGAGGGGATTCTCTCTGCTCTTAGTCTTCTTCTCCTTCTATTTGAATGGTTACAGTTAAGGCACGTTAAGTTTTGATGTTAACTTTTTAATAACTAGAAAAATACAAAAAGCCATTTGTGAGAGTACCATGGGAAGAAAATTGAAATAAGAGAGAAGATAATCCTACTCAGCCGGAAGATTCACGCAGTGCTCTGAGTTGGGACAACTTTTCTCTCTCCTCTCTTATTTTCTCACCTCCTGTTTGAATGCTACAAAAAAATTATCATAATTATGAGAGGACGACAGCGAGGGGAGAGAAAAATGAAGGGAAGAGAATCCACATCCCTTGAGTTTAGCTCAAAAGTTGTTGTAGTAGCTATTCGCTGTGTATTAGTTAAAAGAAGCTTCTGTGTCTTCCATGTTAGAAAATGCTAGGGCTAGTTGTATAGAGTAATTATTTATCATTAATGCATATGTAGTTATTTGTATTAGCGCTGCAAATGAATGATGCACCAAATTGCGCATGAATAGTTAGACCATGTTTGGTGAACTAATTAGGATATGTTGTGATCAATTAAATGAAATTGAGTCGAGTTCATTGTTTGTTGTGTTAAATTGTAAGATTATACAACCGCTTCTTGGGCATAGATTACAAGTCTTATCTTATAAAGGCTAATCAATTTCTGCCAATACAATCATATCCTTAAAGTCAAATATCATCCAACCACCAAACGGGCCTTAAGAGTTCTTTCAACTGATTGAGGGGAAAGAGGTGTATTATTCATAGTGACAAAGAGGCCCACTATTACTACTAAGCAATCACAATAACTTATTTTTTTATTTTTTTTAACAAAAAATAAATAAAACTTATTGTATAACTATGTTACATCTTTAGGGTATTTTTTCAAGTTAATAAATGTTACAATATTCGCAATATGTCAATGAGATTTATGCTAATTATAAACAAGTTAATTGAATTTTATTGTAAACTAATGCACTTTAAACAAACAAATGTTACAGATGATGCCACTACATAATAGTTGCAGCCCTACTGACATTATTGATGTCAAATAACTCGTTTAGAAGTGTTTTTAAAATGACTGAAAATACTTTTAGAGATTATTTTTGAGTTCTAAAAGCAATTGAATTGCAGGAAGCACTAGTTATGTGCTTATTGTAAGAAACACTTCAAGTGTTTTTTTTTTTATTATTTACTTACATTTTTACTAAAAACGTTTTTGATAATTTTAAAAACATTTCTGAATAAATCTAAAGATTTGAAACTCATTATTTTTAATAAATAAATTAACGTGTTATACAAATTAGTTAATAATACCGCGTGACAATGTAGCAGTCTAACTAAAAAACACATCCCTCTCAAACATTCTGCATATTCAATTCCTACTGGTTGAAGTTCAAACTCCAGACGGCAAATGGAGATGCAGATGAAGCGGATAGACGATGCGAGGCGCGAGAAGCAGCAGCAAATCTGTGGAAGCGTATGTTTTAGCTGACGTGGTTTTTGAAAGTACCGTCGGATTGTACCTAAAGAAAATTAAACACCTCGGATCAAGTACCAGTAATATTCCATTATTCTGTTTCATATTTACACAATTACCCCTGGAAATCCCTAACGTACCGATTTCCCCTCTTTCGTTTCTCTCGTTTGCTCAGCCGCTCTCTCGCATCGCAACACATACAAACCGCGAGGTAAGTACGCTTCCTCTTCCCTTCTTCCTATTTTTTCATCATTTTCCCCATAATTTATGAATATATAGGCTGCTATACTTCTGTTTTTACTGTTTTACGGCTTCTATAGTGGATTGCTTTTGATGGGTTAGTGAAGATTTAATTAAATATAGTAATTAGGGGGGTAATCACTGGATTTGATATTGTGGGTTTTGAAGATTACTGTGAATTTAGTTGAAGGATTCTGCAACGATGGGAAATGATTATTTCATTTGGTACAGCTAGTGATAAAATTTGGACCCTTTAGTTTAAGGCCAGTTTGGAAATGCTTCTCATGAAAGCACTTCTGGCAAATGTTACTAGAAGCGCCTTTAGTTGGTTATCTAAACGCAGTTCCAAACAGATTCTTAGGCGCTTGTTTAGGAATGCTTCTGTAGGAAGCCTGCTTATAAGCGCTTATGCTAGAAGACCGTGTATTATAAATATGTTGAGTTTCTTCAAAAAGAGATTATGGGTAAAAGTGCTTTTATGTTTTTCAGCCAAACGCAGTTAGAAGCGCTTTCAGAAGCAGTCCCAATATGGCTTAATATTGACTGTTATTTGAACTTACAGGGGGTAATGTTAAAATGAAACTGGGTTAGCAAAACTTGATGTTTGCTGTATCATTTATTCTTTCCAATTCTACTTTGTACCATCATATTCGTGCAGGTGCTCAATTCTTGCATTACAGTGCAACCTTACGTAGCTTAGAGTTATTAGAGTTTCAAGTAGAGGTGTAGACAGGGAAGAATGGCGGCCAAGTCAATCATGGTGCGTCCATACGTGTTATCAGCCTCCTGCGCCCTTACACGAGCTCTGCCATCCTTATTTTCTCAACCAAGGAAAACACTGTTGGTATTTAAGAGCCAGAGCATCAGATTGTTGCACCATAGAGCAATTGGCAGTGAAAACAGGAGCAATATGAGATTGGAATACGGTGGTGTGAGGAGATTCAGTCCTCAAGCTTCAAGCGTCGGAAATGCAGGATCCATTGACTCCCCACTAATAGAATCCATGAAGAAAAAGATCAAGGAGGAGCTAAATGCGGAATCCGTTAGTGTAGAAGATATGAACGGGGATGGCCGGCATGTGGTCATTGATGTCGTCTCCTCATCATTTGAGGGACAGTCGGCTGTCAATAGGCAGAGGATGGTGTACAAAGCCATATGGGAGGAGCTTCAGAACACAGTTCATGCAGTTGATCAGATGACTACCAAAACCCCGGATGAAGTTTCTGGTAAGAAGTGATGATAGCGTTTATTGGCGGAATTTAATTGTTGCATTTGTTAGCAAGTGATGGATTGCCTTTGTGGATAAGGCTTTTATCTTAAATCAACTGCGTCCGGAGTTCAAATCATCCCTTCCCCTTAGTCTATTGCAAAACAATTGTTGGATTTGTTACAACAATTAAATTAGGCGACAAAGCCAAATATTATTGTCAACTTTTGTTATTATTCTTAGGACATAAGCGATACTTGAAGAGGGAGAATCGGCCACAGGTGCTCGAGTACCCTATTCTAAATCTTTGCAGCAACATGTATGGTAATCCATGCAATCACCATTGATGAAGCTTTGATTATAGTCGTCGATGCAGGCTATGACACATTTATATTTCGAGCATTTTTTATCGGGGATCGGAGCATTCGAGCAGTTTCGTTCCTCTCCTTGAAGTGCACCACTGCACCTGATGACGAAACAATTTAGGAAATGCAAAAAGTAGAGAAAGAAACTGATGTTAAGAACAGATTAGATGTTAATATACCATTAGAGGAGCAAGATGAGCAATATCAGCAGAGGGAAGAAACACCGGCGCTTCATCTGTCTTTGAGAGCAAATGCTATATTAAGCTCTCTTTCCCTTGTGGTAACACAGATTTGTGTGATTGGGCTAATTTATATACAGTGAAGTGATCGATTAGAACAAAATATGACTTATTTGGAGGTGTATATAAAATAACTGTAATGCTTTTAAAGAATTTTTTTTTTTTTTTGTTCTAAAAGTACTTAAACGTGCTCCAGTGCTTATTGTAGGATTCATTTGCATTTTTATTAAGGATTGGTTTCAAAAATGTTTCACCAAAAGCACTTTCAGTTATTTTAAAAACACTTTCAAACGAAATTAATGTACATGATGTGATCATACTTGTATGGTCAGATGGAACGCGTTTTTTTCCTTTCCATGGACGTTTATCCATGTGATTTTTCTGGAAAAGGCTTTTTCTATGCCCCTCTTCAACGTGCCCCGGATTTGTATGTTTTAATTTTTTTCGTTAATGAAGTGCGATTCCTCTCAGAAGAGAAATAACAAAAATAACAAAATTTTTGAAATTTAGTTTAATATCGCGTGCAGCAATTATACATTAGGATAATATTACGGATTAAGCAACTCTTAATTGGAAAATTTGGAATGATAATCCATTAGTTTAATATACGTCATGTTGCGGCAAAGTCTAAAAAGGGTTTTCTATTTATTTATGCATCCTCTCAATATCACCACTTTTTCTTTTGTAGTAGGTACCAATGAATGGTCCGAAAGATTAACAGTTAGATCTTTTATCTATGGATCTAATAAATTTTTCCTACGATTAAATCTTGCGTAAAATGCTTACCAGTGAGTAGTATGTATCATTGTAGCCGAACCCCAATATCACACGAGTAAGCTTTTGAATTGAGCTTTATTCATTGATAATAATCAGGGATGGAGCCACCAAGGGACCAGGGTAGTCCCAAGCCCGTCCTGACTTCTGAAAGGTGTATGAAATCAACCAATGGCCCCAAACTTTTATTTGCAAAGGTGTGAACCTCAAGGAAGAAGATGAGATAGACAACGTTGTTAGCTTGTTTTGATCTTGTTTGACTGTTTAATAAAACAGTGTGTTTGGTCGGGGAGTTTTTAAAAGAGACGTGCAATTTTGAGAAATAAAAGCAACCCACTACTAGTTCCATTTTCTCAACTACCAATAATACACACCTTGTAATTTTCTAAAGCAACACACCTTTATTTGCAGACCTATTCCGTTATCCTTCTTTTTCTACTTCTTCCATAGCCTACCTCTTACTTGGTTGTCAGGGTTTGTACATTTTTATTCTTCTCGCTGTTAAATTTAGGGTAATGCTAGAGAGATAGATTTTTTTTTTTACATCATGATGTGATTAAGTGTCGATTAACGTGCTTATTTTTTATCGGTGACACATCATTTGGTTTACAAACTTGGTTTAAAAATTTGTTCTCCTTAACATTACCCTCAAATTTAAGAGAGGTCTTTCAATTTTGTGAAGATTACTCAAATTGCATATGTTAACATGTTATGAGCTCAATTTTACACACATATAGTGAAAGACTCCTTCTCACTCAAAATCCTAACTCCACCACTGATAATAATCAATTGGTCTATCAGCATTTGATTTCAACTTTACAGGATTTCAGGATATTACAGGAAAATATGTAGAGGATATTAAAATAAATTTTAATTAGAAAAGCAAATACGAGGTACAGTAAGTATATACAGAACATTCAACAGTTGTGAATAAAACAACAAAAAAATCCAAGTCGGACGAATTATGTATTCGGGTCGGGCCTAATGCGGTTTCCAACAGCTAATCGGTCCGGCTCCATAACTTCTTTATGGACCGCATTCCCATTATTATCGTACCTGCACGCCTACAGTTACAAATATATACCTGGCTTCTGTGCACTGTAGAGTGTAGACTGTAATCACGATATCATTCTAATACCTTAGCGCATTTAATGCAGAAGGTAGAATTCTTTCTCTTTCTAATTTCTTTCTTCTTTTATTCTCTCCTATTTAAACGGTTGTTATTATATTACGTCTAAATTTTATTTTGAATTTTTTATATAGAGAATAAAACAAAAAAAAGAGTGCGAGAGAAGATGATGGAAATGGATGGTAAAAGAGATGTCAAATTTTAAACATAAAATTTGAATTTGACAACCATGTGGCATTTTGACATCTTTTAAAATTTTGCTCTCTCAAATTAAATATTATTTTATTATACTATTTTCTTTTCTTTTTATTTTACTAAACTATTATTTTATGCCCCCTTCTTTCCAGTCCAAGCAGCTCTTCCACCAAAACACCTGCGAAAGCTTTCTCTGCCGAACTCTCAGGGCTGCGACCAAATCTCAAATCAAAAATCCCAAATTCCGCCCTAAGATCCGAAATGGATCCAATTATCGAACACCCAATGGCCTAAAACCCAAGACCCACAACGATTCTCAAATCGCTGGGCGAAGAACTAATTAGAATCATCACTCCGGTCTCCGTCTGTATGCTGCTGGTGGTCCTTCTGGTCACAGTCCTAAACGACGACGCTTCATCCTCGTAGGAGACGGTGAACTTAATCGCCACCATTGCGTAAGACGATACCTCCTCGAACTCCTCATGGGACAAATTCGTGGGTGCCCTCTTAAACGCCCTTGTTTTTGTCGCCGTCGTCACGTTCGTTTTGGTGCTCCTTTTTTACCTCAGATGCACCAAGTTCCTCAAAATCTACATGGGTTTTTCGTCTTTTGTTGTTCTGGGGTTCATGGGAGGAGAAATTGCCCTGTTTTTTATTGAGGACTTTAATGTTTCGGTCGATTCGATTACTTTTGTTTTGGTGTTGTTCAATTTTTCTGTTGTTGGGGTTTTGGCGGCGTTCATGTCGAAAATGGCAATTTTCGTGACGCAGGGCTATTTGGTTGTGATTGGAATGCTGGTTGCTTATTGGTTTACATTGTTGCCCGAGTGGACAACTCGCCGACTTCCTCAAATCGTAGCGAGGATTCGAGTGGTTAGTTTCTGGGTTTGGTTTTGAGAGAAGGAAAGAAGAAGGATGAGCAGCGCTTCTCAGGTGACAGAGGAGAGTTTGATTAAAAAAAATTAATAAAATAACATTTATAAATTAATTAAAAAATATTTGAAGCTACTGTCGTTACTGTCAAATTTGACAGTAAATGAGAGCTGCCATTTCATGTCATGCCACATTAAATTTGGCTTTTCAGTTGAAAAACATTACAACTGTATTTTTTTACTGTTATTATTGATATGAACATTTTAACATTTTTTTTGAAGATTATCTAGTAGGAAGGAAGAGAATCATACTTCTTCGTTTAATGCAGGGACGCGGCTTCGCGTGGCGTTGCGCAGCGGACAACTCAAAGATTCGTGCCTACACGTTGCTTTCCAGTGGACCAAACCCAATCAAAATCATACACGTGTATGTCTCTCATGCATCCCAAGAAAATGGCCATGTCTGACCTCAGCTTTCTCGTGCCCCAATCCGAAATTTCCGGGCATTGAGTTGGGAGTTGGGGATTGTCCCAAATTTCTAAAAATAATGTTACATGTAACTGGAACGTTAATCTCGTACTTTTAATTATTTATAAAATGTTCTGTATATATATTTATCTTGAATACACTGTCTCCAATTAAAAAATTATTCCGTGACACCACAACATCGTATGCCAATTTCATTCCCATAATGTTTGAGTTAGTAGTATTCAAAGAGAAGATTTATATAATAATACGATTCTAATTGGTAGCTAGTTTTGTTTTTTGTTCCTAATTTTGCGTTATTGTCGTTTATGATATTTAGGGGGAAGCCGTCAGGTAGTCTTGTTTTTTTGTTCCTAATTCTGCTTGTATAAGTTTATCTTACATTGCCGATCTCAAGTCCGAATAAAAGAGCAGGAAGAGGGTGTCAGGTAGTCAACATCCGACACTCCTATCTTATGTCGAATCTTTAGGATGCGATCATACCAACTCATATGTACCAGATCCCATCAGAACTTCAAAGCTAAACGAGTTTGGAGGAGAGTAATAGTGGAATGGATGATCTCCTAGGAAGCCTTCGTGTTGCATCCTCACAACTGACCCCACACGATGGGAAAAAGCTTTATTGTGTTTTGTCGTTTATGATATTTGACCGCGAGACCTCCTTCAAGATGGAACTCAACATCGTTAGAATTTCCTGTGCTCCAAACCCATGCTTTTCCTATGTTTGTAAAAATGCGTGGGGAGGAAGGCAAAGAAAGATAAATTATCCTTCTTAATTAGTGCAATACGGCTCTAATTAACAATTAAGCTGGAAAGATAAAAACAAAAATCTCTAACATCAACTGCAACTAATTAATTCTGCTTTAATGTCAAATCTCATCAAAAGTAATAAATCTCATACAAAATTTGCATTTTCCGGATCAAAACATAGAAATCCCCCAAACCCCACCAGAAAAATAACAGAGCACTGTTTTTTTTTCCTCTCTCAAGAAATACATGCCAAAACTGAAAAAGAGCAAGCTGAGTTAAGCTTAGAGCCGGCCCTAAGGGTAGCCAGAGTAGGCGTCCTCCTAGGGCCCCCAATTTTTAGGCAGAGTTAGACATGTCTAGATGAGGATGGGTGGGAGCTATGCGGGCTTATATGTAAAAGTTGAAATTTAGAAATCTTTTGTTGCCTGGTCAGCCTTGCACGAGGAAGAAGACAACCATATTCCCAATATCATTTTAATTGCACAATTTTACTTAAGATGGTCCCACCATCTTTTTTTTATATATGCACGTCTTCTCCCCTTTAAATAGTTCCCACCATCTTATTTTTACTTTTTTGCTTCTCTCTCAAGTATCATCTTTATGTTTATTTTTATGAAGTTTTATTACCCTATTTTAAGATCGCACCACATATATCATTATTATGTACGTAAAGGGCCAAAACTCTCACCCTTTTGAAAAATGACATTATTAAATGTTCAAATTAATTAGTTTATATAATATATAATAAATTATTCAAATTCTACGCGTGTATACAAAAATTACTATCCTCTTCACTCTAGTATTTTTCCTAATTGTAAGATGTCGTGTATGTAATCCAACCATTCATCATTTATTGAATGTAATAAGTAACATTGTAACAATAGAAAAATCATTGGAATTTGGCGTACTGGGTAGGGACTTATCTTTCAGTTTGAATTGGTTGAAAAATTAGATTATGTAAACTTAATAAGTGCATTTGCATCTAAAAATGCGAGACCGGTAATATACTAATATTTGAGTAATGTTTGTATATCTTTTTTCTTTTGATATTAATTTTTAATAATATTTGATGTAAAAATAGATTTTTCATGTATTTAGTGAATTTTTTTTACACTTGTCAAAATACAAAGGGTCAGGAGTTAGAGAACTCTAGAACCCAATTTCGAAGGTTTCCTAGGGCCAAACTCTCAGGGCCGGCCCTGGTTAAGCTCGCTGGTTTTCATGTTGTACTTGCTCTTCTTGTAATCGCCTCGGCTGAGTCTCAGATTCATCGTCTTAATTTCGAATATTTTCGGGTTCTTCGGGATCATGGGACCCCATTTCTTCTTTCACTTTCTCGGAGCTCTCCTCCTTATTTACTTCTTTGCTCATCCCCTGTTCGTCGGCATGATCGCCAGCTCCGCCGAAAGAAGCAGCTTTCGAGCACACGGAAACCGGCGTGGCCAAGAAAGTTGGGTTCTCATTCCCTGCCATAATAACCAAAATCTTCTCCTCGAACACCTTCACTGATTTATTCGACCCGTCGCCTTTCTCGTCGCCGCCGCCGCCGCCGCTCTCTAAGTCTCCCTCGCCTCCCTCTCTATCCTCCAACCGGCTCGGAAGCTTCCTGTAAGAGCAGGCAAGGATCAACAAAGCAAAAGCAATCAGACCCAACATCCCCGCCAGGCCACCGAATAGGTAGGGTACCGGAGAGTGCCACGGTGAGCGCGGCTGCTGCTGCTGCCCCATGGCTGTTGGTGTTGGAGTTGGCGGCAGCGATGATTCCAGTGGAGATTTTGTTGCCGGAATTGCAGTAGAGAAGGCAATTACGGTTCTCATATTTATTTTTAAATTGGAATATATATTTTTTTAATTGGTGTTTTGGAAATTAGGAAGGTATTTGAGTTGATGAAAAGAAGGTGAAGAAATTTGAGCTGATGAAAATGGAGGTGGTAGGTTATGGTATTTATAGCAGGGGAAAAGTGTTTTGTCTCTCTGTTTTGTTTTCTTTTTCTTTCTTAACGGTGTCACGGATTTGGGGATTTGGCCCTGTTTTTTGGTTGTGTGCACTTCAAGGTTGGATCATGCTGATGGAGAACTTTAAGACTTAAGGGTTTATGGGGCTATAAAATACATTAACCAATGATTCTTGGAGCCCAAGTCATGAACATTTATTATGATGATTTTTTAGTCATATTTTTTAGTAAAATATTTAAATTTGGTAGATTGCGAGTCTAAAGACTAAACTATTGATCAAGACAAAACCTGTCTGAAGTAATCAACTTCCCTTTGCCAATATGCTTGTTTTTTTTTTTTTTTTTTCAATGTCAGGCCAATGAGCTTGTTGGGCAATCATTAAAGTTTGGGTGCATTTTTGGTTCACAATTACTAAGTGATAGTAATGCTCATCACTCTATTTATCACCGTTTGAGAAGTTTAAACTTTGAAATATAATTGTGTCTATTTACTGCATGAATCATAAAATTTAAACTCACCTAACAGTGATAAAAAATATAATGAACAAAACCACAACTTGAGGATGGTGAGAAAAAATATTTCTTTAAAATTTTCAATACTGCACTGAAATGGATTAGAATATCTTAATTTGAAGAGATGATGCGATTTGTTACCTTCATAAGAGAGTGGTACTTGAGGAACAGTGATTAACAACAGTAATTTGTACTCTCATTACTTTTTGAGACGTGGGATGAGGAATGTAAATTATTATTCTAGCCCCCAACCCTAATAATGCTTCTAGAACGGAATGTTTTTTTTTTGTGGGGGGGGGGGCGGGGGGATGATGTAACGAAACATCTTTTACTATTTCACATTAAATTTAATACAAATGAAAAGTATAACAAATATGTTGTTTTAGTAGAGTAACTTACATGAAACAGATATATTTTTATTTGTCATTTTATGTCAATGTTATAACATCAAATAGAAATTTATTTTACACACATCTTTATAATTTATATTGTTGACATAAGATGTCCAGATAATAGTATATCTATACATCGTTCTCCTGCTCTAGGGTTTTGTTTCATGCTTGGGTCCATATCTGAAGCCCAGAGTTAAAACCCACTAAGTGTTAATTAGTCTGAAAGGGAGATTATGTGTATCCAATGAAATTGACATGAAAACAGTCATTGGATTAGTGATAAAATTTGGACCCTTTAGTTTAAGGCCAGTTTGGAAATGCTTCTTATGAAAGCACTTCTGCCAAATGTTACTAGAAGCGCCTTTAGTTGGTTATCTAAACACAGTTCCAAACAAATTCTTAGGTGCTTGTTTGGGAACGCTTCTGTAGGAAGCTTGCTCATAAACGCTTATACTAGAAGACCTTGCATTATAAATATGTCGAGTTTCTTCAAAAAGAGATTATGGGTAAAAGCGCTTTTATATTTTTCTGCTAAACGCAGTTCGAAGCACTTTCAGAAGCAGTCCCAATATGGCTTCATATTGACTGTTATTCGAACTTGAAGGGGTAATGTTCAAATGAAACTGGGTTAGGAAAACTTGATGTTTGCTGTATCATTTATTCTTTCCAATTTTAATTCGTACCATCATATTCGTGCAGGTGCTCAATTCTTGCATTAGAGTGCGACCTTACGTAGCTTAGAGTTATTAGGGTTTCAAGTAGAGGTGTAGACAGGGAAGAATGGCGGCCAAGTAATCATGGTGCGTCCATACGTGTTATCAGCCTCCTGCGCCCTTACTCGAGCTCTGCCATCCTTATTTTCTCAACCAAGGAAAACTCTGTTGGTATTTAAGAGCCAGAGCATCAGATTGTTGCACCATAGAGCAATTGGCAATGAAAACAGGAGCAATATGAGATTGGAATACGGTGGTGTGAGAAGATTCAGTCCTCGAGCTTCAAGCGTCGGAAATGCTGGATCCATTGACTCCCCACTAATAGAATCCATGAAGAAAGAGATCAAGGAGGAGCTAAATGCGGAATCCGTTAGTGTAGAAGATATGAACGGGGATGGCCGGCATGTGGTCATTGATGTCGTCTCCTCGTCATTTGAGGGACAGTCGGCTGTAAATAGGCAGAGGATGGTGTACAAAGCCATATGGGAGGAGCTTCAGAACACAGTTCATGCAGTTGATCAGATGACTACCAAAACCCCGGATGAAGTTTCTGGTAAGAAGTGATGATAGCGTTTATTGGTGGATTTTAATTGTTGCGTTTGATAGCAAGTGGTGAATTGCCTTGGTGGATAAGGCTTTTATCTTAAATCAAATGCGTCCCGAGTTCAAATCATCCCCTCCCTTTAGTCTATTGCAAAACAATTGTTGGATTTGTTACAACAATTAAATTAGGCTACAAAGCCAAATATTATTGTCAACTGTTGTTATTATTCTTCTGACATAAGCGATACTAGAAGAGGGAGAATCGGCCAGAGGAGCTCGAGTACCCTATTCTAAATCTTTGCAGCAACATGTATGGTAATCCATGCAATCACCATTGATGAAGCTTTGATTATAGTCGTCGATGCAGGCTATGGCACATTTATATTTCGAGCATTTTTTAACGGGTCGGAGCATTCGAGCATTTTCGTTCGTCTCCTTGAAGTGCACCTGATGACGAAACAATTTAGGACATGCAAAATGTAGAGAAAGAAACCGATATTAAGAAGAGATTAGATGTTAATATACCATTAGAGAAGAGCAAGATGAGTAATATCAGCAGAGGGAAGAAACACCGGCGCTTCATCTGTCTTCGAGAGCAAATGCTATATTAAGCTCTCTTTTCTTTGTGGTAACACAAATTTGTGTGATTGGGCATTATATGCAGTGAAGTGAACGATTAGAACAAAATATAGCTCATTTGAAAATGTGTATAAAATAATTGTAATGCTTTTAAATATATATATTTTTTTGTTTTGAACGTACTTGATATACTTCAGTGTTTATTGCAGGATTCATTTGTATTTTTAATAAGGATTGATTTAAAAAACATTTCATAAAAAACACCTTTAGTCATTTTAAAAACACTTTCAAACGAAATTAATGTACATGATCTGATCATACTTGTACGTTAAGATGGAACACGTTTTTTTCCTTTCCATGGACCTTTTTTCATGTGATTTTTCCTGGAAAAGGCTTTTTCTGTGCCCCTCTTCAACGTGGCCCGGATTTGTATGTTTTAATCTTTTCATCAATTAAGTGCGATTCCTCTCAAAAAAGAAAAAACAAAAATAACAAAATTTTGAAATTTAGTTTAATATCTCGTGCAACAATTATACATTAGGAGAATATTACGGATTAAGCAACTCTTAATTGGAAAATTTGGAATGATAATCCATTAGTTTAATATGCGTCATGTTGCGGCAAAGCCTAAAAAGGTTTTCTATTTATTTATGCATCCTTTCGATATCATCACTTTTTCTTTTGTAGTAGGTACCACTAAATGGTCCGGAAGATTAACAGTTAGATTTTGCATCTAAAGATCCAATGAATTTTTCCTACGACTAAATCTTGCATAAAACGCTTATCAGTGAGTAGTACGTATCACTGTAGCCGAACTCCAATATCACACGAATAAACTTTTGAATTGAGCTTTATTCATTGATAATAATCAGGAAAGGAGCCACCAAGGGACCAGGGTAATTCCAAGCCCGTCCTGACTTCTAAAAGGCGTATGAAATCAACCAACGGCCCCAAACTTTTATTTGCAAAGGTGTGAACCTCATGGAAGAAGATGAGGTAGAGGACGTCGTTAGCTTGTTTTGATTCAAAATCTGTTTGACTGTTTAATGAAACGGTGTGTTTGATCGGGAAGTTTTTAAAAGAGACGTGCAAATTTGAGTAGAAAAAGCAACCCGCTACCGATTCCATCCTATCAACTAACAATAATACACAACCTGTAATTTTCTAAAGCAACACACCATCTTTATTTGCAGACCTCTTCCTTTATCCTTCTTTTTCTACTTCTTCTTCCATAGCCTACCTCTTACTTGGTTGTTTGGGTTTGTACATTCTTTTTTCTTCTCACTATTAAATTTAGGGTAATGCTAGGGAGACCTTTTTTTTTTACATCATGACGTGGTTAAGTGTGAATTAACATGCTTATTTTTTATCGGTGACACATCATTTGGTTTACAAACTTGGTTTAAAAATTTGTTCTCTTCAGCATTACCCTTAAATTTAGGAAAGGTCTTTCACTTTTGTGAAGATTACTCAAATTGCATAAGTTAACATGTTACGAGCTCAATTTTTTTACACACATACAGTGAAAGGCCCCCTCTCACTCAAAATCCTAACTCCATCACTGATAATAATCAATTGGTCTACCAACATTTGGTTTCAACTTTACGGGGTTTCAGGATATTATGGGAAAATACGTAAGGTATATTAAAATAAATTTTAATAGAAAAGCTAATATGAGGTACATTAATTATAGAGTGCATTCAACAGTAAATAAGGTGTGAATAAAACGGAAAAGAATCCCCGCCGGACCCTTTTTTTAGGGATCCTGTAATCGTATCCGTTAATCGTACATCGTGATATCATAAATTATTTAAAATTTAAATTTTAAAATAACGAAAACTAATCACACGATATACGATGAATGAACACGATTGCAGAATTCCTAAGATCAATAAGAAAAGGATCCGGCATGAATCTTTTTTCCGAATAAAACAACCAAAAAATTCCAAGTCGGACGAATTATGTATTCGGGTCGGGCCCAATGTCGTTTCTAACAGCTAATTGGGGTAGTGGTTTTTGTTTGTCGGTCCGGCCTCATAACTCCTTTATGGACCGCTTTCCCATTAGTATTGTACCTGCACGTCTACAGATACAAATATAGACCGGGCTTCTGTGCAGTGAAGAGCGTAGACTGTAATCACGATATCATGATAAAACCGTGTGCATTTAATGCGGCGTAAGATTATCACTTCTTCTCATCTCTTTCCTCTTCTATTTTCTTTCATTTAAACAATTACGATTACGTACGTTTACATCTTGTTTTAAATTTTTTATATAAAAAATAAGATAAAAAAAGAGTGTAAAAGGAAAGTATGAAAATAGACGGATAATATGAGAGAAGATAATCCTAATTCTTTCTTTAATGCGGGGACGCGGCTTCGCGTGGCGTCGCGCAGCGGACAACTCAAAGATTCGTGCCTACAACGTTGCTTTCCAGTGCGCCAAACCCAATCAAAATCATACACGTGTATGTCTAGCACGCATCGTAAGAAAATGGCCAAAGTCTTACCGCAGCTTTCTCGTGCCCCAATCTGAAATTTCCGGGGATGTAGGTAGATGTCACAAATTTTTAAAAATGATCTTTATGTGTGACTGGAACATCAATTTCGTATTTTTAATTATTTATAAAATGTTATGTGTATATATATATATATATTTATCTTTATTACACTGTCTCCAATTAATTATTCCGTAACACCACAACATTTTTTATCAATTTCATTCCCATAATGTTTCAGTTAGTGGTATTCAATGACAAGATTTAAATAATAATACGGTTTCAATTGGTAGCTAGTTTTGTTTTTTGTATTTAATTTTGTATTATTGTCGTTCATGATATTTGAACGCCAAACCTCCATTAAGATGGAACTCAGCATGGTTAGAATTTCTTGTGCTCCGAACCCAAGCTTTTCCTATGTTTAGAAAAATGCGTGGGGAGAAAGGCAAAGAAAGATACATTATCCTTCTTAATTGGTGCAATACGGCCCTAATTAACAATTAAGCTGGAAAGATAAGAACAAAAATCCCTAACATCAACTGCTGATAATTAATTCTGCTTTAATGTCAAATCTCATCAAAACTAATAAATCTCATACAAAATTTGCATTTTCCGGATCAAAACATAGAAATCCCCCAAACCCCACCAGAAAAATAACAGAGCACTCTGTTTTTTTTTTTTTTTTCTATCTCAAGAAATATATGCCAAAACTGAAACAGAGCAAGCTGAGTTAAACTCGCTGGTTCTCATGTTGTAGTTGTTCTTCTTGTAATCGTCTCAGCTGAGTCTCCGATTCATCGTCTTGGTTTCGAATATCTTCGGGTTCTTCGGGATCATGGGACCCCATTTCTTCTTTCGCTTTCTCGGAGCTCTCCTCCTTATTTACTTTTTTGCTCATTCCCTGTTCGTCGGCATGATCGTCAGCGCCGCCGAAAGAAGCAGCTTTCGAGCACACGGAAACCGGCGTGGCCAAGAAAGTTGGGTTCTCATTCCCTGCCATAACAACCAAAACCTTCTCCTCGAACACCTTCACTGATTTATTCGACCCGTCGCCTTTCTCGTCGCCACCGCCGCTCTCTAAGTCTCGCTCGCCTCCTTCTCTGTCCTCCAACCGGCTCGAAAGCTTCCAGTAAGAGCAGGCAAGGATCAACAGAGCAAAAGCAATCAGACCCAACATCCCCGCCAGGCCTCCGAATAGGTAGGGCACCGGAGAGTGCCACGGCGAGCGCTGCTGCTGCTGCTGCCCCGTGGTTGTTGCAGTTGGCGGCAGTGATGATTCTAGTGGGGATTTTGCCCCCGGAGTTGCAGTAGAGAAAGCAATTACGGTTCTCATATTTATGTTTAAATTTATATATATATATATATATATTTTTTTTTTAATTGGAGTTTAGGAAATTAGGAAGGTTTTGAGTCGATGAAAAGAAGGTGAGGAAATTTAAGCTGATGAAAATGGAGGTGGTGGGTTATGGTATTTATAGCAGGGGAAAAGTGTTTCTCTCTGTTTTTTTTTACTTTAACTGTTTCACGGATTTGGCCCTGTGTTTTCTGTTGTGTTGGATCATGCTGATGGAGAGCATTAAGGGTTTTGGGGGCTATAAAATACAAGAAACCGATGATTCTTGGGGCCCAAGTTATGAATTTATATTAGTGGTGCTATCGGTACATCTATTTTAATTTTTTTATACATTTTTTTTAAATTTTTGGTTATCAAATTAAATTAATTGAAAAATATCAGTGTACAAAAATTAATAAGGATGTAAAAGGTAAAAAGAGATATGTAAATAACATTACTCTGTATATTATGATAATTATATTTAAATTTGTTAGATTACGAATCTAAAGACTAAACTACTGATCAAGATAAAATCTGTCATGATGTGTGATTCAAATTCATTATCTAAAATTGAATGTATTCGTGTAACTACATGAGTCTAACAATGAATTATGAAACGTTAACATTAGATGACACTTTCAACCCTTTTATTTATTTGGAAGTTTCAACTGTAAAAATGTTATTAAGTTATCATCCTTGTAAAGCTATATAATTTCCCATT